CATACCTGGCCTTCCTTATTGGCCGTGATGCTTCTGACCCTACTTGTCGAATCCCGCAATTCCAATTTTTTGAAGGCGCAAGACTTTTCTGGATATTCTAAAATCGGCGAGAAAAGCAACGTGGACGCAATATAATCGTCTACAAAATTAAATTTTGTGCGTGTGTGTATGCGTGTCTGGATCTAGACAAAGATGATTTAATGGGACGTCTCGCGGTTTAACTTTGTAAATGATTTTCTTAAACATACATATGTATGCGAGATGCATTGAATTGCATTCATGACAAGTGATATGGACAAGTGATTTAAATCGCTTCCTCGATATGCCGAAGTTAGAATGCTTGGCGTCATCGAGTATCACGATATCGACAAAGGCAGCCAGTTCTAACTTTAGCGCGACGTTGTATCAGTGTGTCGGATTGTATCAGTACGCGAGAGTCGAGACGTACCGTAAGCTTGTGTGACGGTACGGGGACTCTAATTTTAGATAAATCCATTCGCCAGCCAATATCAATCTAAACTCATCCGCCATGCAAAGGGATCCACGCGACTGTGTACTCTGAGGGGGAGAGCGAGGGTGGCGACGAGAGCACAACGCTCTCGGTCTATCCGAAACCTCCGCACACGCGCGCATGGCCGCCTCGTGTTTACACCAATGATCTTCATGCGGCAGGTCGGGTATGAACATCGAATCGTTCGGCAGAAAATCGATGTCCCTCTCGGTACCGAGGCTGGCACCGAGTGTGCCCGGAGGTCCGCGAGGAAGTTCGGACGGTTGGAAGGGTAGGATAGGTATGCATTAATGTATGCATGCACTTCAACTGCGTGCGTACAGGTGCACGTAATTTCATTCGGTAATCACCGTTCCCATAAACAGGTGGTCGGAATTTGCAGACCGAACTTCGGATTGAAATCGATTAGCTCGCTGGAAGTTTCACATGTATGTTGCACCGTCAGCATCTGTCGTTGGATAATGACAGTAATTTCGCATATTTCGTCTCTCTGAATTATATCGGAATACTATGTCCGCCTGCAGTTTGAACTGCAGCAAATCTAATTTCGTAAAGAGCAACTCGAATATGTTAATGGGATACGATTCAAAGTTACACTCCTAATTTTCGACGATGGCGCGATGATATATCCTCGCGAGTCTTTTCAGGGATATCGTATCGATATCACTTTTATCTAGACTGATGGGAAAGACGAGGTAATTCACTTGACATTCCAAGGACTTGATAATCGCCTTTCAAATTCCGAGGTATTAACTGACTAATTTTCACGCGCTTTCCGCATGTGTGTGCATACCAAGTTTTAAGGAAATATTACGTGGGTGAAGTCAGAGGAACTGTCTTAAATGAGCGATTCAGTCAGAACGCTTACAACCGCCGAGAAAGGGAAACGGAGCATTGCTCGGACCGACGAGAGCATTGAAATGCAAATGGATGGCTCGTTTCAGCAGCCACACACTTGTCTCGCGATGTTCATGCACGGGCGGAGGATTGGGATCGGCGGGCGTGCTTCTCTAGCTGCTCGTCTCACGTATGACTGGGTAAAGCTGGTTCGCAGTACAGATCTGAGGCGCAACTTCGCTGAGTGCAACATGTACGAAATTGCGTTAAGCTATTTCTAATATTACCGTGCGAATACACACAAATTACACGTGCCTCCTGTTAATAAACGATATTTCCGTTGATTACACTGATGACTACGATATCAGATGCCGTTACGAACGAGAGAAACTGTTTCTATCAACGAGTTCAATTACTGCGCGATTAGTGCCGAAATGCATTTATGATGCATTTTATTAAAGCTGGCTGCCTATTAATTAATGATTATCCACCGTCCTTTTCATACCACCTGCGGTGCAAATGAAAGCCGACGCGATCGTGGTCAGTCTGTTAACATTGATAATATGTAATTACGTCTATCAACCTATAGATATATATATACACATATTGAATTATACATATGTGTGTGTGTGTGTGTGTGTGTGTGTGTGTGTGTGTTGTGTGTGCAGTTCTTTATCTCACAGAAATCGTTTTCTGTAGCTATCGATGTGCGTATCGATTTCATTTATTTATCCGTCGGGATGTACACATAGCGACATTGTACACGGATTGCCACATAAAGAAGAGACGACGCCGTCGACCTCAGGATGATTGCTGATCGAATTACCGGACGGACCGACTATCGACGAAGGATTCCTCGGATTTCGTAAGACCGGAAATTTAATTCCAAAGTCCACCACAAAGGACGACCAGGCAACGGGATTAACGAATTCGACTTCCCTTTGGATTCCACCAACCCCAAGCTTCGGCTTTTGCTTTCTTTTCTTTTTTTTTCTTTTTTTTCCTTCTCTCGACATCCGCGTAGACACCGGATGGAAGACACGATTTGTCGATTCCTGAAAAGTACGAGAAGACCGCCATAGACTTTGTCGACTTCGGCTACTTGACTCAGTTAATTATAGACTAATGGAAGCAAAAGTTCCCTCAATAAACGAACTTGAGGATAGACAGGGGAGAAAAGAGCCAGGACATTATGGACGGACTAGATGGTTGTTTGCGTAAGAATCTTCGAGAGATGCTTCTTCAGTCGCCGCCTTCTAATTATGCCAAATATTCCACGAATTACCGCGGAGGCAACTTGATTCCAGTAAAATAACTTGGCTCCCACTATTATTGCATTTGATGGAATGGCAGGATGTCAAATGATTGTATTTTTACTTACTGATATCTCTGCTGCAATTCAAATATGTATTTTTCGTTATATATTTTTCGTTTGCTTCAGCGTTACAATTAATACTCGCTTTTCTTCGATAAATGAAAAATCATAAAATAACAAATCAATAACTGTTTTGATTAAAACATTTCAGTATTTATATAATGAAAACTTCATGTAAGTTGAATCGATTTCTAATAAGACCGATAGTTTTGTCAATAGGTTCTTACAAGAATACGTAATGTAGTCACGTTTTATGGAATTAATAGGAATTCAATGTATCGAGAAAAGGTAAGATACGTAAAAGACCAATTAGAGGTGACTAAAATTGGAGACGGCAGAAAGTGAATATAAACACGGAGAAATTGGAAATGCTTACTGATCTGAAAACGCGCGCGCGCGCGCGCGAGAGAGAGAGAGAGAGAGAGAGAGAGAGTGTGTGTGTGTGTGTGTGTGTGTTCCCAAACTCCCCGAAATTCCATCGTATTAATTTATCTTCGTCCTTTTAGCTTCTATCGCGAGCTTTGCAGCCTACAGGTTCATCGATCAATGTGTCCGGTGTATGATGTGCCTTTCAGGTACTTCATCCCCCTTAATACGTACGCCGGCGCGCGCCGAAGCACTTCCCTTTCTCTCTCTTTTTTTCTCTCTCGTGCGCAAAGTCTCCGCCACCCTTTCGCGCAACCCCCATGTAACTCTCGTTGCGCTCGAAGTCAGTGCACCAGAGTCAGTACATTCCTCTTTACGTTCCTTCTCATTCCGCGACGTAAGTTACGACTTCTTATTCAACCGCGCTACCGGCAGTAAATATTCCTTTGCAACCAATTTCTATTTGCACGTATCCTCACCCTGGGCTTGCCTAGTTCCGCAAACCATGCGTTCTTTTTTCCCTCTTATACCATATCGTCTACACCTTTTTACTCCTTCACCGCAGGCTGTGGTATTGCACCAGCCAAAGGTGGTTGCAAGAGAATTAAAAGGATTTCAGGTTTTAGAACTGAATTTTAGAACTACGACCGCGCAGTTCGAAAAACGAAAAGAAGTCGTACTGCGGACGACGATCGAGACTCTATCGTACGAAATACAATGAAACTTGATAACATAACGTATGTTATGAAGAATATTATCATACCACCGCCCTATCACTTTCTATCTCAGAATTCACGTTCAAATTGTACCAACGAGCCGCCGATTTTTATTCGTTGATAAATTTTATCTTGCCGTTACGTCTATCGCTATAAATGTTTCAAGCAATTCTATTTCCGATACGTATTCATTCCCCCAACCCTTCTCCGCGATTTTTCACACCAGCGCAGAATTATTTTCACATTTCGATCCGGTCTATTTATGTTTCTTCTAGCGCCGCTGCATACGACTCGCGCAGTAAATATTTCTTTCTGTCTACGTCATGTAGCCAATTTCCATTTGCGAATCCTCTCACTTGCATGGATCTTTTTTTTTCAGCACGACATAGAGAAGAGAAAATCGCGCGTAACGAACACGGAAACCCCATATTGCATGACGCGCGTATTTATTTATTATCTCGAGCGTGCGCTCAGTCTCATTTTATGTATTTTAATAAAATACATTTCGGCGGAAATAATATGCATGTATACACAAAAAGAAGAAAAAATATTACCTTAATTACATGTACTCTTCGTTTGCACAATTGTACATTTACATGTATATATATATATAATGAGCATATTTAAACTCTCAGAATAAATCGTGAAAATATTCAGCAAAAAAATTTTCTTGTAATATTATCCATTTCTAAAGTTAATGATTTCCTAGTTCATTAAGACATGGATATATCCATGTACAACTAAAATGCTTATGAGCCTCCACTGCGTAAATTATATATTATAAGGCGACAAAATATAATTAGTAAACAATTGGAATATACTTACCAAATATTAATCAGTTTGAAGTTAATTAGTATTCAACCTCATCAATTATCATACTGAATGGGATTCAAATTTAGATTTGAGTCGTCTGCAATTAACGTCATTCGATAAGTATATTCCAATTGTTTGCGAATTATATGTTATTGCCTTACGAATTTATGGAATATAATAATCTACGCACTAATAACCGCTCACATAGAAATACTGAATTTATTCTTGGAGCCATGAATACCATTAATTCAATTTATTTTAATTAAAAACATGGACAGTAGTGAAGATAAAAGGACAACTTTAATACTTTTAAAATACATTAGATACTTTGTTATATTTTGCAAAAGCCTATTCACATGCAAATTGAGTCATCGATTTCTTTTTTAAAATATGGCAATGCTGGAAGTCCTCGTGTGCTATTCGTACTGATAATGGCATTTGTTCTAGCTCGAGGCGGAACTTTATGAACGATAGGGTCAAAGTGAGGATTATTAAAAGCTCGTACGCAGTCTTTGGAGAAAAAAGTTGGTATAAAAAACGCGTACGTATTTGTTATCCGGGAATTCGGTAGATACAACAATTTTCTCTCTCTCTCTCTCTCTCTCTCCCTCCTCTCCCCCCCCTCTCTCTTTTTAGACATAATTTATGTCCTGGAATAAATACTTTAATCTTTTTCCTGGCGTGAAATGGAGTAGTGGATTTGTACGCGTCTCCCTTTCAAGGGGAACGTCGGGAAGAATTTTCATGCAAATGTACTCTTTTGCTGTGTGGCGGCATAGTATAAATAAATAAAACATGGAAAAATACCGAAGTCCAGTTGTGGCTCTCCCTTTCTCTCCTTTCCATCCTTTTTGCTTCTCTTTTTTTTTGCGCACATGCACACGGAGAACATATTGCATTACGCTTGATTGTTCTGTTTTCTTTTTATTCTTACTAACTACTCTTCGTAAGTTGTGAGTAAATAGAAAACGGTGAACTTCAAACTCGCCCGCTCAGTTATAATTGGAAGTACAACATTTTCCCAAACATGTTCTACGAGTCCATTCGGCGTGTTTGCAGAAGCGTTAACCATGACGCAAACTTCATGTCGACATGTCACGAAAGCTTTTATTTCAATTCCGACAGTCCATGCAATTCCGACGTAAACTCGATTGCTTAAAACTTGGTGTCAAAATAATTCCATTTCTAGGATCGTCTAAGGTCACTATAAATCATCAAGCACAACTGTTTGCAAATTGCACGCGATAATAATGAACCCTCGCTATTTGCCAGGGAATTCAACACGATCATCATCAAACTGTCTGAGCACAGCCGTAATCGCGAGTAATCTAGATTCACGGTTGCATCTATATATCCAGAAATCACGACGGTGTCGCTCGTCTCGAAGACAAGCTAGTTTATCCCGCACCCTCGTTTCCCCGCCCTTTCGCAGACAGATATTCCTGGACGCATAATCCTCCTTCGAGCCCCGACGATTCGAGACACGTTCGCGGATCAGCGTCAGCGATATCATCGCGGATTAAGACGGGGAGCTGCAGCGTGAGGCGGGAATTCGAAGAAACTACCGAAAAACGGAGAGACAGGGAGAAAACAGAAGGCTGCAGGTGAGAGGAAACGAGATAGCAGCTGGTGAAACTACAGCTCGACAGAAAGAGAGAGAAAGAGACACGACCTCATAGTATCTCGCTTAGAACTCGCTCAGAATTTGCCGGGGTAGATGGGATAAGCAAACGGGGTAGTAGCCGGCTTGAACACGTTTGCACGAGGCTCGCGAGTTTTATCTGTCGGGTCGACCTGCCCACCTTACTTCTTAATTACCGAGCCAGCTCGTACATTCGTTTCACAGCTCGGAATTTGGTCGGAGCGCTTCTCTCTCTTCTCCTCTGCCATTCCCCGTTAACTTTTCTCGCGCTCGCCGCCAAGAAGCTCCCCTGATATCATAATTTAATTTCAAATAATAAGGTTGATCTCCTTCTCTTCTTTATTTCCCTATTTTTACAGTACCAGTTAAGTGGATCACTTTTTTTTTCAACGGGTCTACGAGAAAAATTAGTTCGCTGTATCATCTCCCGATCATTATGTTATTCCCCATTTGTCTAACAGCATCCGTTTTGTTCCGCGCGTTTCATCCCCTATTTTATCATTTTCTTCCCTCAATCCATCCTCGCTTTTTCGTTTCATCTTCGCGTTTCGTCTGAATGTTCCGAAGCAAATTGTCTTCTACTTGTTCCACTTCCTTTTTCCCTCTAGCATCCCGTATTTCTCGCGGCTACTTGCCATCCAGAGGCATGCGGATAAAGGCATCTAGAGGGTGGTTACGGCTACTTCGCGCGCGTGAAACCGCCCGTCTCACTTCCGGCGTGCCACGCCTTCGCTGTCACGTTCGTGCGAAAGCAGCGGCGTAAATTATCGCGCATCCATGGTGATCGCTGGTTTCGCGATCGTATAATATATCGGTGGTAGTTACTCGGGAAGAAAATGCGTTACCGATCACCTGTATAACTGATCACTGCGATCGATTGCCGTGCTAAGAAACAGAGATGGATCGGCATGTACTTATACATATATTATGCGTACGAATAACAACTATTATGTTTCTGACGGATCTTGTGATACCAAGGATCATATGGCACACGAAAAAACTTAAGCACACTGAAAAAAAAGTCTATGGTAATAGCTACTAAATGTTAGGTAAAATAATACCAATCAAATGTTCGGCAAAAACAATTTTATTATCAATAGGAGGATATATAAGAGTCAAGTTTGAACAATTAATGTATATAATATAAACCGTTTCAAATATGTTCATTTTAATTACTATAAGATATAAATTTGAGGGGTGATATTGCATTACGTTACATTACATTACAATACATGGTATCATGATTGTGCCTTCTTCAGATATACAAAAAACGCAGTATAAAAGTCAATTGAGTTTTAATTCGTCGGCAATAAAATCCAAGAAAATAATTTTACTTTTCAAAATATTTAGTAAATATAATATTACCAAGTATACACTGTAAAATTAACTTTTTTTGCATGTCTCAAAAAGTCCCCATTATATATGTACGTCTTTAAGTTGAAATTAACATTTTATTTTTCACAGTGTAATAATATAATTAACTGTTTGATAATATTTACTAAATATTTAGAAAACTAAAATTTGCTACCAAACTTTTTTCAGTGCTGTAAAATGTAAGCGGTAAGAAAAATCAATAATATTAGATTTGCTACTGCTTACATTATGGCTTTACGTTATGGTCTCTACTATGATTGACCAATTCACTTACGTTTTACGATTTAAGCTTTTTGTGTCACAGCCCTTATATACGCTATTAAAAAGTGCTTCGAGAATTCAGTATTAAGAATCGATGCGTTAAATACAAAAGCACAAGAAAAGTAAATATGCGATGAGAGACACGAAAAGTTGACACAATTGATTAGCTTGTAATAACGTTTTTGTGAAAAATAAATTGTACGTTGGAAAATACATGCTTTAAAAATTGACTTATTTATTAAATATATTACGTCTAAATTTATGAAATATATAAATTGCATCTCTGCAATTTGGAATTTAATGGCGCTTGGCTAGCACGAAGACGCAACATCAACAAAAGATTATTAATATCACTTTATTAAAATGTGAATATATGCGGCACTTGATATCACCGAAATTGGGAATAAGAGGACTCTTGCAAAATCGGAAATTGCATTTAGCGTAATCGCATATCCAGTCCCTCGATTTCTAACTAACATGAAAATCGGTCTGCATTATCGATGTAATTTATATGCGGAATGCTCAAATAATTTGGTATAACACGCGACTCTGCCGGAGAGAGCAAATCCCACTCGAAACCAGAAATTCAGAGCGACCGTCGAGAACGAGTGCAACCGGGGTAGGTCATTGCGCGCCACTCGGCGCTTTTAATCCGTGCGTCGGATTCATTCTATTCCCCATTTACGGAAATAACAACCGATTTCAATGTTCTGTTCTAAAACTTTCTTTTTCTCTTTCTCAGGTCGATCGATGAGCCGCGCACACGTCACATTTATCACAAGGATAAGGAGAAGCTGAAAATTTCGCCTTTTATATATAAAACATCGTAACGGGCTCCTTTGTAATTTCATTTTAAAATACGACGGTGCGATTCGAGTGTTTGACGTTTGGTATCTCGGGACCAATGCGTGAAAGTCTCTGGGATCGACGATGACACATTCGCGACTTGCGAAAAGTCGTAATGCACCAAATGGCCCATTCGCACGGGACACAACGAATGAGAATTATTTCAGTGGTGTTATATTAACGTACGACGAAAATGAATCGCGATACGCAGCGCGCGAGCATAGATACATATAAGTGTCAAATGCCACGAGGAAGAGCAACCTTATATTGTATCATTTTCGTTGCCACGACGGTGAATTAATGCAGCGAGCTCCCACGTGATTCGAAACTGGCTCGTATTGCGAGACTCGAGAGATTCTCCAACAGGATATTGCGACGATTAGCTGTTTATAATAGCTAGAAGTATGTACAGCGGAATGGGCGATTAATAAATCTCTGATTTCTTGTGGACTCTGCTGCACCTGAAACTTTTTCCCTATATCTATGTCTCTGAAACTCAGCGTACGTGGAGTTGAAGATTTATTATGTAAAAAGAGACACGAGCTTTGTATAAATTTTAACGTATCCTATACACTGGACTTTGCACACGTGCTAAAGAGGTGAATTGCATTATATTGTATTATGCTGTATTCACTTCTTTAAACTCGAGAGTACCATCGGTTTTTTTTTTTTTAAGTAAACAATGGGGATTAATTGGATGTTTTTACATTCCAATTAAAATCATGAACTATTAATAACGTACTATATAATATATTATTTTTTCCTATTTATTAGTATTTGAAAATATTGGATATGAATTTAATTTTATAAAAAAAAGTAAGCAATAACTAAATAAATATTAAACGAAATATGCACGTGAAGTAGTTTATTATAACAATATTTTTAAGGAATAAAGATTTCGATTGATATAAAATCTTTTTTATTATAGATTTTCAATTGCACATTTAAAGGTTCATAAAGAAGAGTCGTTAAAAAAGAAAAAAATATGTTAAAAACAACAGATACATCCATAGAAAATAATATTTCGTAACAATTCATATCCATCGCTGGAATATAAAAAATAAGGGTGTGACTATTCCCGAGTTAAAGACAAAGTTTCACATTTCGAAACGACTGTCCACCAGCCATTAAGAGATTTAAATATCCTAAAGGAGAGTTTTTGCCCTTCACACATTTCCCGTGTTTTCAGTCTCTGATTGCGACGGTGATGGTTTACAAGATAGCGTCGCGTTTCTCGACATAGGGGTTGTAGCGAGCGTCGTCGGAACGTTTCCATTGTCGACGCCCGTCGCGTTTCCGGCAACATGGGCGTGCTAGGCACGTAGGAAATTACGTTGCGCGTTAGAACGCGGTTTCGAGTTGTAGAAAACGGTCGGCATGATCGGCGGGAAAGCGAGGACGGCGAGAGACGCAGACGCCTAGAGAGTTATCTCGCCGGAGTGCCACGTCGAACTCTCAACGACATTCACAAGGGGAATAAGCGACACCGATTGCCGGGATGAAATTGCGCACGATACGATTCAATCGTGTATAACATGTAACGAGACGCAAATGAATATTCGAGAAAAAAAAAAGAGAGAAGGAGAAGAAGAGGAAAGAGAGGAGAACGAAAAGGAGACATCTTCGGAGCGATGAGTTTGGACGAGACCCTTAAACAACCCTCGTAAAGCTCGGATGCTCTTCCGCATCGGTCATAAAGCTTATAAAGCTGTGATGGATGTAGAGTAAGCCGCTTGAAAACTCGGACGAGATGAAAAAGAGGGATGGAGCGACCGTATGTAAGGAGACCAGTGAGCGAAAAGATTTGCGCCATGGTAATTCGAGTTGGTTACTCGCAGCTTTTTCGCTGGAGTAAACGAGAAACGGAAACACTTACGTTACGTCGCAAAAAAATGTTGCACTACTGCGCGGTAAATGTCAGAAGAAAGTTGAAAAGACACATTTCGACACACCCAGAAAATGATATCATTGCAAATGTAATGACTGAGATTTGTTTGAGATAGTCATCGTTTGAAGGAATCTAATTTGCAAAAGCGTCAATAAATTTATTTAATAAAAAGCAACGAATGATCTTAACGAATGACCTTAATCGGTATTTGTTTTGAAATACCTTTAAATAGTAGATACAGGGTACTTTAAATTAATGTATCTTTGCTTGATGTAATTGAATGACTTTTTCCAGTTTAAAGATCGAAATCTGAAGAATAAGATTAGCTAAAAATGTAGATTGTAAAAAAAACATGATTTGTAAACAACTTTTTATAATATAGTTGAATAAAATATCTGGATCAATTGGATCGGAGAGAAACATTAACGGTTAAAAATGAATATCTAAAAAGAATCTTTAACCAAAACCTCAGACATGCAAAATCTTAAAATAAAATCAATTTTAATCTCAGCAGAAAATTTCTGTTCTAAGCTCTATTAATTTTTACAAAAAATAATATTTCATACGCTTTTTAAAGATTCCTCGAATTAACATCTTTAAGAAGAGTTAGACTTACTTAGTTAAAGTTAAAAATGTTAGTGAAACGAATCCTTTATATCTTAATATGTCACCGGGAACGAAGATATAAACATGCGTGATGTAACTCGACATGACGCATCCAGTGCACGATTTTTATGACGACGTGTCGACCACGACCGGCGGACGTTATAGCCCCTTTTCAAGGTACGAGCGAACATAAAATTCGCAGAGGCTTGTTCGGTTGTTGCGAGCAATGGGGAATGAAACGCGGCATAAAATCCGTGGCCTTTCTGAAACGTCACATAAATTTCGACTAAATATCGGCGTGTTAAAACGACGAGTGTTTAAACGCATTGTGCAAACACACAGAAATTCTCGTATTTATTTGGGGGACGAAAATGATGTAATTTACACTTCGCGCCAAGCGTCATTTTTGCTACGAATTAAGTATTAATCTATGCAGAAGTTCTCCGCAGTCATGGTCGGTTCGTTTATAATTTGTGCACTCGCCATAAATTATTAATAGCATTATATGTGACGATATCGCGCCATCGCGGCTGTGTGCGATTTGTTACTGAAAAAGCCGGAGTCCGTTTACAGTTGACATTACATGATGCGAACCGACCTGCTACTGATTACATCCGTAGTCTACACACGAAATTTAATAATATTTGATTGCGTTGATCGAACGTTTTAATCAGTTTTAACGTAATACTCAAACGCGTGAATTATATCGATGTTTTGCAATTGCCGGCGTTCATTATTGCTTTGCCGCAGTTTTCCTATTAAGTGAAAATATTTAGATAAATCGAGAAAATGTTAAGGTAATAACTAGGATATCATTATTTACGGAGCAGACATAAAAGGGAAACCTGAAATTAGATAGGAATGTTATTAAATTTATTATGTCAAATTATACTCAATTTGAGGTATTTTTAATCATTTTATAAGTCGCTTACCTACTCGCTGTTCTTACTCAATGTGTCGTTAATTTAAAATTATATAAACAAAGTTAAACGAGTTAACTCAAGAAATTGTATTAAATTTTGACTCAAATTTAATTTATTATTTATTAAAGTGCAAACATTAATATACACGTTGTTTACGTTGAAACTAACTACAGAAATAAATTAATTTTCACTTTGATACAAGAAGGTTAAAAATAACAAAATGTTATTTAACTCAAAGGTTACCGTTGCTTCTTTATAATATTTACACACAGAAAAATATATACTACACGCAAGTAATAATTACTTGTTTCAAAAGTTGATAAATCCGCAAATTTATTTATAAGTTCATCAATTTATTCAAAATGTATTCTGAATCTTATAATTTAATAATTCGATTAAGATTATTAAATTAAAACAAACTTATTATATGAAGTTACTCGATTTTAGAATATTCTTCAAAAAAGTAAATAAATTCCTGTTTTAAATACAGAATAATAAGTTTTTCTAAAATTTGTGAAAAGTATATCTTAAGATTATCAAGATTCTTTGATAAAGATAACCGTTACTTAAAAGAAAGAAAGCGAATTGAGTAATTACTTTTCTTAACAATCGAATGACATTTTTCTGTAACAGTGAAGACGAAAGCCTTTATTCCTCTTGCGTACTAAAATCATCCCAATCCCAAGTGTTGTTCGCTCATGCGAAGATCGCCTTCGGCGTCAACGTGAGATGAGAATCGGACAGGCACATTTATGCGACAAATGCGCGGCGAGGACTGAAGTATAGATCGCCGTGTCCCACGTGCGCGGACATTCGGTTCATGATAAACTGGAAACGGAAACGGGATTTATGTCGCACGTCGCACGGGACAAGGGATAGGGTGCGTTGGAAATCGGAAGCACTTCGCACAACCATACGTGAGATGACACGAGGCCACGAACGAGTCGTGTTGAGACACGCGTGAATCGTGTATGCACTGCTTGCGATGCTTGGCGGATTTGGATATCGGCGGAGAGTAACAATGAGTGGCGCTAAACGGACGAGACGCTCTCCTCGTACGTATTCTGAATAAGATTCGAATGGAAAAGATAAAATGCACTTTCCATGACGGAGAGATGGAAAAAGACGTACTTCTGTGGCGTTTGCGCCATAAAAAAAAAAAGGAAACATTTAAATCATTTTTATTAATACCCCGAGAGGAGTAGAATGAGGGCCATGCGGATTATCCTTTATATTGTAAAACGTCGTGGATGCGGACGCGCGTGCAAAAGCCAGCGGATTGACGCCGATATATGGAATGAAAACGCGAGCGGCAAATAAACAACGAATATTCGGAATCGTTATATATATATATATATATATATATATGTACACAAATCGCGCGTTTCCACTTCGGCTTCCGTACTGAAAAAGCCGCGAAATATTTGTAAATCCTGTAAATACGGAGATTGACGATTTATGATACAGAGACTTATCCTGGAAAAGAACGGTTCAAGAAACTAAAAATTCCGCCAGATAGAAAGGGCGCGGATCTTCGATTTAATATGAAAGTATAATATAATTTTATTTTCTGCATTTGCGATTTTGTATGACACTGAAAAATGTGAAGTGATCACAAAAATTTTTGGTGAGATTATCGACGGATGGAGTCGTCAAATTAAAAGCTGTACTACTGAAAATGATATTTCAGCCGAATTTAAAAATCATATTTTTATAAGAATTTTTTCAATAAAATAACAGATTCTCTCAATACAGCTTAAAATGTTTAGTTGATATTTGTACAAAACACGTTTTTGATATTGCTCATTCCCCTAAGAGATGAAAAGATTCATCCAACTGTACTTGAGCGTACAAATTGCCAAACTTTTTCGATTTTCGCATCAACGATTTTTGATTAATGCACGACCCAACATGCTATGTATCTCTACCTATATGGTTTCGTGTTACGTAAAGTTCAAATATTCGCGTGATTGAATTTGATAACACGTTTGCAAATTATCGAATCTCGGATTCGTGAACGAGTCGAAAACGCG